AGAGACCATTCCCAAGGCTTCTCCTTACATACAGGAGGCAGACCACATCTCAAAGGCAGCTACTCAGCTGCTTGTGGTAGATCCCAGCATGGAGTTGATTGCCAGTTTCATCATGGGGAATAACTATCACCAGCTGCCTAGGCACTCAACCAGGCCCAGCCAAGTTGACATACAAACATAACCACCACACTAATTCAGATAAATTTTTTTTGTTTGTTTCAAAATCTCATTATGATTCTCAATCTAGATGAAGAATTAGAGAACAAAGGGATTTTATTGAATTTTCCCAAAGACTGAGCTACGAGCATTACATTATTTTTTTTTCATGTGTTTTATGTATTCTTATTCTGAATTTATGAATCAGGAAACAGGAAAATGAAATTTAAGTAACTGATTAATTTACTAATATATTAAGTGGTTTCATGAATTTTAACCTTAAGCTGAGGAGCTCTAGTAGCACAATGGTTAAGGACTTGGCTGCCAACCTAACGGTCAGCAGTTCAAACTCACCACCCACTCCTAGGAAGATGTAGCAGTCTAATTCTGTAAAGATTACAGCCTTCAGCACTTAATGTCTGAGTTCCATCCTGTAATATAGGGTCCCTGTGAGTCAAAATCAACTTGACGTGAAAGTTTTTTTTTTTTTTTTTTTTTACCCTTATGTTATTTTTGATCAAGCCATATTATTCTGGAAAAAATGGATTCATATAATGCCACATTAATTAAACTATAGTATAACTTTAAATATCTTATTGGTATTTTGTAGGAAGTCACAGTAAACAGTTTATTCATTGTATTACAATAATGCTTTGTCAAAATCAACTAAAATGTTACTTGTACCTCTAGAAATAGCAATCATCTCTGGACACAGGACATTTTACTTGATGTCAAGCATCCTGTTCCCAGGGGAATGAATGTTATTAATGCAGAAGAAATTGAATGGCAGGAAATTTGAAACATAGGGTTTGCCCTCGGTTAACATCATGTAGCAGAAAACGTTCAGGCACTAAAATGCAAATAAAAAACAAACAAACAAAAACTTTTGCCATTGAGTTGATTCCGACACAGAGCATCCCTATCTATAGGAGATGGTTTGACTGTCCCATAGGATTTCCAAGGCTGTATCCTTATGGAAGCAGTTTGCCAGATATTTTCTCCATCAGATCGTCTGAGGGGGTTGGAAATGCTGAACTTTCGGTTAGGGGTGTTAAATAAACAAGAATAATTGCTATTCTCTTTGTAGATTATTAAAAGGTAGCATTTCTGGCCTCACTATTTTTATGTATCTGGGAATTAACTTTAAAATTATCAACAGAAATGTTTTCATTTTTCATTTCATTATTTGATAAATAAACTTTTATTAATGGGTATACATATATAAAGGATCTCTGGTTATGTAGTGATTAAGACATATTTATGAATATGATAGGAAAATTATCCAAAAACAAAACCAAACTCACTGCCATTGAGTCAGATCTGACTCATAGCAACCCTTCCTTGGGTTTCTGAGGTGGTATCACTATGGAAGTAGATTGCTGAATCTTCCTTCTGAGGAGTGGCTGGTGGGTTTGAACCACCAGACTTCTAGTAAGTCTATGCAGGGGAGAGTGTGCCCAAGACCATGTTGGCAGACAACGTTTCTACAATTGTATTGGTATGTTCTATAAGAATTCCCAGGTGTATAGTAGAGCTGACAAGGGACAAAATTATAGTCACTTTTTGAGTATAGCCAGCTACCCATAGGGAGTGAATAGTTGGATCTGTGGGCTTGGGACTGTAGTTGCAGGGCACATCCAGCTCAAGTAGCATAACATACTACACAAAACATTGTTCCACATCCTACTTTGGCAAGTAGTGACTGGGATCTTAAAAGGTTGCAAGCAAGCATCTAGATGCAACGATGGGTCTCTCCTCATCCAAAGCAAAGAAAACTAAAGATTTACAGAAGCAATTAGTCCAAGGGACTGATACACCATGTGATCCTCAGCCTATGTGACTATGAGACCAGAAGAAATGGATGGTGCCCGGCTACCACTGTCAACCACTCAGAGGGGGATCTGTGGAGGAGATCCTGGATAGAGAGGAAGAACAATGTGGAACAAAACTCAAAATCACTTGAGAAAAAAAAAGGGGGACCAGGTTGGCTGGTCTGATATGGCCTGATGGAACCACTGAGACTATGGCCCTTAGATGGCCTTCAAGTCTAGAATTGAACTGACTCCTGTGGCCTCCAGCCAAACAAAAGACGGGCATATGAGGTGAATATTTTCACCAGGTAGATATACTCTTGGGGAGAACAATCATGGGAGAATAGAAGGGCTGCTTATGCACAGAGAGACAGCTCAGGGGGCAGGAGTGCATGGGAGGGAGGGTCACAGGGTAGAGGTAACTATAGGAAGGAAGTGAGAGGGGAGCTGTTGCATTGTGGGAAATTGTAGTCAATGTCATGAAACAAAGGGTATGTGAACTGCTGTATGGAAAGTGAATTTTCTCTGTAAATTTTCACCCAAATCACAATTAAAAAAAAAAAAAAAAAAAAAAAAAAAAAAAAATATATATATATATATATATATATACACATCAATGTCACATTGCAAAGATGCCTCCATAGTCTCAATTAGGTATGTAGCACAAAATTGCTATGAATGCCATTCACTAAAATGTATGAGTTCAATTATTGACTATCATTAATTGTTGTTGTTGTTGTTGTTATGTGCCGTCGAGTCGGCCCCGACTCATAGCGACCCCTCCTTGGGTTTCCGAGGCAGTATCACTACGGAACTAGGATTGCCCAAACTTCCTTCTGAGGAGTGGCTGGTGGGTTTGAACCACCAGCCTTCTGGTTAGCCGTCAAGTGCTTTAGCCACTATGCTATCAGAGCTCCTTATCATTAATTATATGTTTCATATCACTTAGGCTCATAAGAGCAGACATCCATCGATATAGTTGTAAACAATCTTAAGTAAAGTTTAACCAGGATTTTGTAACCTACTCTGATTTTCATAATAACATGTTTATTAAGGCTTTTAGCTTTCTTAAACTGACTATCAGGAAGGTTTTGTGACATAGGCAATAGATACAAACAATAACTTGGATTATACTTACAACGAAAATTGACTAAAGCAGTTCATAAGTTACTGATTACGAAAGAGCTAAGTGAATTATCATAAGGTATAAAACTAATAACAATTAATGTATTCTAGTTCCTAATTCATAACTGCACCTCTGCTTCTGATTTCCTATTCCATTTCTGAGGCCCTTACAGGATACTTCTGGCAGATTTCTTGCACCATTTTTGGCACAACTCAAGGAAACTAGTTCCTCTAGGCAGCCAATCATTCATTCAGCATCTTCTGTCACCATGTGACAAAAATCAGATAGCTGCTAACGAAACATGGAAACCTTGAACATATCAGTGTATTTTTAATACAATTGACATGATACTACCTGGAATAGGATGCAGATTGGAATTTGGTTGACTCTGATTTTCAAACCATTTGATTCACTCCATTGCATTCTTAAAACTTCCTTATATAAGTTTCATAAACATTAAAATTATTCCTTAATTTAATAATCCTATAAAATTATATTCTATAGACTTAAGGAGCAGATTCCCAAAAAACATGTTATATGCTATGTAATCATCCAAATATAAAAAAGAAATACTTATAACTGAAGAGGGCATGTGTCAGTGTAAATGATGTGGCTGTGCCCATTTCTTTGAGAATTTGCATGTCAGTCTGTTTCAGAGTAAATCTAATGTAACCAGCAGGACCCAGAGAGCTGCCAGAATGTTCCAGAACATGCACTGCTTTGTCTGTGTATCATTACCTCTATCTTTGAAATTAATAGAAAAGTTTTACTGATTTCCAAAATCTTGGCCAAATCAAGAATAGGTTGATACTTAGCCAAGTCTTCAGTAGTTTGCCAATTGGGCTATCAGCTTGTTGTGATTGATGTGATTGATGATGTTGCTTAAACTTATAGTGCATTATAGAAGAGCTTTCATTCTCATTCGACATCACAGGATGGGGTATGATTGTTTTCACAAGAAAGTAAGAGGAAAGAGAGAGAATTAATATATGTGTGTGTGTATATATGCGGATATACATATA